TGTGTGTCTCAGTTCATCCACACTTTGGAGGCCCAGCAGGGTTTCTCCCAGCGAGATCGTGGCTACGTGGCCAGCCTGCTCACCATGGCTCTGCACGACAAACTGGAATACTTCACTGAAGTCATGAAGAGCCTGCTGCAGGACCTGGTGCAGCAGTATGTTGCCAAGAACCCCAAACTCATGCTGCGCCGGTATGCAACGCAAAAGCAACTTCAGTCACATTAGAACTCAACAGGAAGTCTTTTCAGGTTTAAAGTTTAGATGTAGTTCCTTAAAAAGAGCCCAACATTTTTATTACAACCAGTCAAAGTCTTTGTAGAAGCAGGCCTTGCCGCTGGCCCCCACCTTAGGAACGGCTGTAGGTAGTTATTTTGGGCGAACATGACCAAATCCCTAAATAAGTGGAAAGATAGCCATAATGATAATTTCAGCGTTCACTGCGACATAAAAAAACAGAAAATATGTATGAAATCAGAAACGTATGGCTCAGATTTATACCTTCGCTGGGAGGAGCTGTCTGTCCGGCTCATGTCTCGGCTTGCCTGTTTGTCTTTCAGAACAGAGACGGTCGTTGAGAAGATGTTGACCAACTGGATGTCCATCTGCCTCTATTCCTTCCTGAAGGTAACTGTCTCTCTGGCTCTGTCCCACTGCCTGTCCCATCTCACCAGGTCCCTGACCACATCCCAGTAGAATCATTGAGGTGTAGTCCATTTTTCTTTTGCCATAATTGTTAATTCACATTTCAGCAGAGTGTATCCAGAGATTGATACATTTCTTTTTGAGTGTTGTGAATTAGAACCAATCAAAAAACGCAAGATTGTCTTAGTGTTGGGTATAAAACTACCATGCATAATGTTGGCCACCCGGTCACTGCTCTTTTTGTCTATCAGGAGGTGGCGGGAGAGCCTCTCTACATGCTCTACAGAGCCATAAAGTATCAGGTGGACAAAGGGCCGGTGGATGCTGTGACGGGAAAAGCCAAACGAACGCTCAATGACAGTCACTTGCTGCGGGAGGACATTGAATATTGCTCAGTGGTAACCAGAGTAACAGACATCACACTGATCTGCAGCTGAATCACTGATTCATTTATGACAAGTCATCTCTTTCTCTCAGACTCTGACGGTGCTGGTGAAAAACGGAGTCGAAGTTCAGCCATGTCCTGTTAAAGTGCTCGACACTGACACGATCACACAGGTACATGCTTGTTTGTATGGTAGCGCGGTGTCTGTTTTTAATGCCTTCACACCTTTTGGTTATACTGCATATGATAGTAAGTGATATGTGATGGTGATAGAAGTTATTGTGGCTACAAATATATATTTGATTAGCTGAATAAACCTTGCTTGGCATAATTTCTATTCAATTCAGTTTTATTCATACAGCATAAAATCACAACAACAGTTGCCTTAAGGCGCTTTATGTTGTAAGGTAGACCCTACAATAATACATACAGAGAAAAACCCAACAGTCATATGACCCCCTATGAGCAAGCGCTTTGGGTGACAGTGGGAAGGAAAAACTCCCTTTTAACAGGAAGAACCCTATGCCAGAACCAGGCTCACGGAGGGGCG